ACCAAATTTACATTTTTCTTTTTTTATATAAAGGCAATAATTGCATGATTTTTATCTAATCCAACGTTCTATTCTCAAATAATAATATAACCATCTCTAAGCCAAGAAATATAGATGGTAATTCTATTTTAAAAAATGCTAAATGCCTACTTGCTAAAACTTGATGAGAAAACGATCTTTTATACACACTTAAATCTTAGTAAATAACTTTTTTTTTTACTCAACTCAACAAATATTTCTTTTATTTTATAATAAATATAATTTTAACATCATATAATAATTGTAATAATAGACTTGAAGCATATTTTCAAAGAGGCCAGTGAAGTTGACCTGTCGAAAAAGGCCTACATATTTTTTGGAGCCTAATATCCTATCTTGTTCCTCATTTTATTATTTCTGCTTTGGAAAAAAGACTTTAGAAACTTTTTTCAAACTTGTAATGATATTGTTGTATTTTATTTTATTTTTTCAAAAAAAAAATATTTATTACACAAAAGAAAACTTGCCATTATCATGGATAATCAATTTGGCATTGATGAAGCACGTAAAAAATAATTGTGGGGGTACGTTTTTTTGTGGGTTTTTATCATTTAACAAGTCCATTTCATTACACTTCTTAATGATAATTTGTCAAATTTGGCGGCTAATTAAATCATATTTGGCATAACTTATAAAAATAAATTACTTTAGAAAAAATTTCACAAATCTAGAAAGAACTAATTGACTCTTATGTCTATAAAATTAATTCTTTATTTGGAAAGCATACATTGACCAACATTGAGCTAGAGTTTTAGACTTATTCCATGGAAACTTGAATTCCGTAGCCAATTCAAATTATATTGTTTCTTCCCTCTTTGCTTCACAATTACTCGTTTTTACCAAATAAATGATATCTTTTTAACTTCCATCCACTCTTTACTAAACTCCAAATCAAATTTTTATTACGACATTTTATGATTTATTTTCTATTACTAGTAAGTTGATATGAAGTGCGTGTCCAACCTATAATATACTGATCTGATCGGTCTATAACTCGAAATAGATAATCTTCAAATTGATGTTTAAATATATACATCAATAAAGAGATGTTATAATAAACAGTTTAATCGAATAAAAATGTAATCATGGTAAAAAGAAAACATAAATTTGTACAAAGCTATTTTTTTTGTTCTTAAAAAGTTACAAAACTCTCACGGAATATATATTAGACTAACAGTGATAACATGATATGAATCAAATTCATCGCATATCCAACATACGTATATTGATCTGATCGATCTATAACTCGAAATAGATGACCTTTAAATCACCGTTCACTGTTCAAATATATAGATCAATAAAGAGATGTTGTAATAAACATGGAACAAAAATGTGATCATGGGGAAAAGAAAACATAAATTTGTACAAAGCTATTTTTTTTCTTCTTAAAAAGTCACAAAACTCGCAGGGAATATATATTAGAGAGTAACAGTGATAACATGATATGAATCAAATTCATCATGAATATCAGTTCAACAGATGACACAAGAATTTGGATCTTCTTCAACGCTTCGTTGGTGATAATAAGCAGGAACAGGGGTTTGATAATGTTGATAAGGATGCTGATTATAGTGATAAAATATAGGAGCTGGAAAAGCTTTCATTACTGGAAGAGCTTCTTCTTTCGTCTTATCGGCTCCTCCTTTTTTATCATCCCCTTTTTTAGCCCCATCATCTTTTTTGCCGTCATCCTTTTTAGCCCCTTCATCTTTTTTGGCACCGTCGTCCTTCTTTTTCTCAGGCTCTTTTGCTGGTCCAACTGAGACGATATCAGTGTGACAGAGCTTCCTCAATTTTGAAACCAGTGAAACTGGATCTATGTTCCCTGTAATTGTTAATTTCTTCTCTTTTGAATCTATTGAAATTGATTCCACTCCTACAACAAAATTCACACCACAAAACCATCGAAACTTTCAGTATCTTTAACTTTTGGGCTCAATTTTTCAACAGCCATCGAAATTGAGTAATTATAGCTTAATTCAACAATACCTTCAAGACCAGACACTTTCTTCATGGCTTTCTGCTTGATTTTCTCGTCGAAATACTCCAATTTCAGAATTACTTTCTGTAAAACAACGTTTCGAGTTTAAATTTTAGTTTTCCTTTGAAAATCCACCAATAGCGTGAAAAAATTGAAACAGAGAAAAAAACTAACCTTCATCTTTAAATATGCTGATAATTAGAGATCTGCTTTTGCTGGTGTATCTTACAAAGTATCAGATAAAGAACTGTTTTCTTACTTTTTGTAAGATTGTTATTATTCCGTCTCTAAATAGAAGAGAATATTCAAAGGAATGAAAGACAAATAGAAGAAAGAGAAAAGAGAAATGAGAAACTTGTTGAAGTGTAATGAATAATGAGCTTATTTAGTTGTTTGTATTTATATGAGTGATATTTTCTTTTATTAGTTTGAGTGGGTAATGTGAGGAAGAAGCAACGTAACTCATCAAAGTCAAGTGACATTAGAGAAATGAAGAAAAGTCGACTTATTGGTCAATATGTTTTAAGTCATCAAATGTGGCTGCCAGCTTCTTTTACTTTTACCGTTTCACCAAAGAAAATTACTAAACTCATAATGTATTTTTTAATTTGATTTTAAATTATATTTATGTCTTTCAATTTTAAATGTGTATAAATAGACACTTAAATATGTATAAAGTTGAACAAATAGACACACATGTCCAACATGTCATTCTACGTGTCATTTTTTGTCTTACATGGTGTCCTACGTGTATTTTGCCATGTCGGATTCATGTGTTTTATTTATTTAAAAGTTGGATAGTTAAAATGTCTATTTGTGCATTATGAAAAATTGGAGGTCAAAGTTAAAATTTAAAGTCAAATTTAGGATCCGATATATGTACTATGTCATTATTAAAATATCTATATATTCCACTGCTGCACGAGCGCGATGCAGAAGAAACTTAGAATGTAAATTAAAAAAATATTGATTTGGCTAAACTCGTAAACTATATATTAGCTCCGCCCATGGACGTGAATAAACAACAAACGGATCGATCCCATATGTTCATTTTCTCCTTTAATTTTTGAAATAAAAATTTTTTCTTCTGAAATATATAGTTCAATGTTTCTTTTTTATTATTGTCCGAATAACATTATATATTTCAATTTAAAATATTTCAGGATGATTTGTGCTGCTAATCGGTTAGAGTTATAGAGATTTTAATAATATTGGTGACAATTATTTTATTTTTTTAGCTTGCATAAAATTATGCTTCTAACATATCAATTTTTGAATTACAAATCAAAGTCATACTATGAATATTAACTTACTCAATTACTCTTTAACAACTATCAAATATGACGTTGTATAACTCATACAAAACTAAAACATGAATAAGTTGCATCCTTACTAACATGGCCAAAAGAATATACACATTATTAGTAACATTAAAATAGAGGGAAGTTTGTTATGTAGAGCTGTCAATATGAGCTAAGCCCATTTCATTCGGGCTAATTCATACAGATTTTTGATATTTTACGGGTTAAATCGGATTAGCTCATTTTTGTGTGGGCCAGAAAATGGTTAGACCAGACCGACCCAACGAGCCTAGCTTATATTGACTGACTCTATTTATACGCTTGAAAATTCTTATGCGTAGAACACTAAAAAAACAACAATTTGACAGTATTTGGCATGTACCTAAAAGTAAAGGATGATATTCAATTTGTAATGGAGAAGCAACATTTCATGTCCTTTGGTCAATTGTCACACACCAACTTCTTTAACTTTTTTTGTCATCTATATCCTTGTTTTCATTTCCTTTTAGCTTCCTCTGAAAGCTTAAATATATACTACGTATAATAGAGTACTATTTTAATATTAACAATTACTATAGGAATTAATATTTTCAGAATATTTAATTTGAACAAAAAATAATAATTCGGAATATGCATTTGTATGAATTTTGAAACAATCTCTGCTAAGTGTTTGAGCTATACGACCGTCTTGACACGATCGATTTCTCTATATTACTAAGTTAATTAATGTATTGAAAATTTTCACTCAAAAATGTTTTGTGACTATTCCTACAAATATTTTAATTGAATTCCTGAGAAAAATAAAAAAGTTCAAATATAATTATTGCCCAGTATTTCAACGAAAACTTATTTTCTAACATGTATACATTTTCCTAATGAGCTAATTTGGTGGGACTAATATGAAAATTCATGTTTTATAATATGAATTTCTTAGTGGAAAAAAATCTATATTTCTAATATAAACTAGTCTGTTATGTGGTATTTAAAAGTCCTATAGTATTATACAAAGAATGACTAAATTGAACACAAATAAAAATAACGAGATGTTTTGAATTTTATATAGGACTTCACATAGGCATTCGCTAGTGCGAGATTGGATTGTTTTTCCCAACACTATGTTCCATTGGAACTTCTGTCTGAAAAATATTAGGTAACTATTTTCACGAATATTTTAACATTTCATGAGAAAAGTAAATGTTGAGCGGCTATTTTCAGTATTTGAATGGAAATTTATTTTTCATCGTGCAATTTGCGGTGAAAGCATGGTTTGATTCGGGTAAATCCGTTAACGGCAACCAGCTTGAAAGTGTGGTTTGATTCAAGTAAATTAGAGGGTTAAAAATGAATCCAAATATATGTAATCCGTTTAACTTATTCAGAATTTTAAGGGTTGAAATCAAGATAATTTGAATTGAGTTTAATCTCAACCCATTCAAGTCTAACCATTTTAAGAAAATCCTCAATTGAGCCCACGTATATTATTGAGATTAATCGAATCACATTGAGCAGGGTTGAAACCCAACTCGTTTTTTTAATTCATTTGCACCCAATCCATTTGAGACCAAAGTAAACATGGACGGATCAAGACGCAATTCGATCTCTATTCCAACTCATTTTAATATCTCCAATTTCAACTCAATTCGCCTATTTGACGTCCCTAAAATAAATGATATGATGGTCTTTGCAGACATTTCACATCTTTTTGTCCGACTGAGTTGTATAACTCTCTAAAACTGATTCAACCACAGGATATACAGAACAACGGCGGATCAAGGATCTATAGGATATTACTATATAGCAGCCATGGATTTAGCTTAATAACAAGTACTTATATATGCGTTATTGTTTTCACCTGTGCAGTTTGTCCATACTGTAAAAAACAAACAGAGATGAGAATTGTGATGCTGGAAATTGAAGAAAGAAAGGAGTCAGTGATATTCTATTTCCATCAAGGTTATTTTAGTTTCCTTAATTATATTATAATCTAGAGAGTATCTGATTATCTAATCATTAATTAGTTTAAAAGACAAAGAACTTGTTAATTGCATTGCAGAAATCGTTCAACTCTAGTATGTTTACATATACTGGTAACTGGTATGAATCAAGATATTGATATCCAGAGATAAGAACTGAAGTTTGATTTATTTAACATCCTGATGAATGTTGTGTTATCCTATAGTCAGTTACTTTTGCTACTAAAACAAGTGCCTGCAAGCTGCCTTTCTGTCCAAACCTAATGAGGGTATTATCTACAAACTTCAGCAGGAGGTGAGATCTGTGCAATTATTGTCAGCAAGCAATTGCGCACTCCATCAAAATGATCAATATCTACTACATACTAATATTCTACGGCGCATACTTTGCTGCAGAGACCGGAAGTTGGATAGCTGCAATTGAGTTTCCTATTTGCTTCCGGTTATACATCAGCAGCATCTGGATAATTTGCAGTATGATAAGGACCTTGAAATCTGTCTTCAGATGAATCTAGCAGATGGAAATAAGAAAAACAAAAGGATAGGCATGCTAACAAATTGGCAATTGCTTAGCATTATGATTTGAGGCTGAAGCTGTTTTGAACATCTTCATCCAGCATGAAACTAAAATAAAGACATTACAGTTGATACAGTTGAAACTTATTGAGAAGATGGTCTTATGCTTTACATGGTGCTAACATAAAAGTTTCATCTTCTTCTTCATCATAACGTGTGCTACATAGCAATGACAGATCTTGAGAAGAAATTAGAGACTGCTAAATGTAACATGGATTAGAAGCAGTACTAATCATATGTCATAATACGCTAGATATGTAACTACTTATATACACCATATAGAGATACATATTAACTGCTTAAACAGAGATATATAGTTGAAATGTTCTTGGTACTTTTCAGTTAAAACATTTACCTTTCCTAATACAAAAGAAAATGGGAAAAGTAGCTGAGACAAGTATGGAAGGCAAAACCTGAAGTCACTGCCCAGATGATTAAGTCATCATAGCCTTTCGAATTCGAAAGGAGTCCCAAACAATTGGGACTTGGGAGAAAGAAACTACTAGAGTAGGGTATTTGAACTTTCTTCTAACCGAAATTTGGAAACATTGCAATGATGGAAGAGAAATTGAGTAATTATTCAAACTCTTTTTCCCGCTCGTTGGGTTTGGGTGATGGAATCAATTCCCATTGCTGGAGAATGACAAATTTTAAACAGTCCAGATAAAAGGAAAAGATGTTTTCATGCAGTATCAAGGATGGAGAATGACCAAATGAATACAAGTTCCTGTCTTTCTCCAATGACAGGGTCTTATGTATAATTTAGAGGTAAGAGAACAGGGTCGGAAAAGGTACCTCACTTCATATTGGAAATCCAAATCCGGGGTAGTGTAATTGTTGATGATAAGTCTCAGGTAATTTTTGCATGTCATCCCATTGTTGTACAACATCATAAACGACATGCTCACTAGGATCTGCTTGTGATTCACGTAGCAATTCCATATGCTGAAGAGAATTATCTGGCTGATACAACATTGGATACCGTTCAAGATGTTCATATTTCTTTTCCATGGCAGGTGCGGTTTTCATGGAAGACTCGTGATGAATTTTAGACCAAGGGTAAAAATATATTGCAGGAGGGTAATAATGACCATGTTTTTCTTCTCTTATATTCTTGAAATGACTGCAAGTAAAATAAAGATCCAATGGATGAAAAGTTGGAATTTCTGGATTAACACGGATACACGAGGTCTTAGAAGAGATCTGATGGGGATATGGTTTCCGGTGGATTGCAGAGCTTGAAACATTCCGACCAGGTAGAAAGGATTTCTCATAACAATGAGCAACTTCTGGGTGTCCGGTACTGTCAGAAGTGAGATTAGGCTTCAATCTATCAGTTCTACCAACAAAAGTTACCTCTGAGCAATGGTCTGAGAGGGACAAAAGATGGTCAACAGAAATCAAACTGTCCTCATCAGGCAAATTGATTTCATCTTCCACAATATCTAAATCAATAGAAGTGTCCACATTAGCGATTTTGGGATCTTTTGGCTCTTCCTGATAATTGAGCAAATCCAATTCATCTTCATCCTGTATATGTAGTGGAACTTCAGATTCAGTTACTTTAACTGTATCAGCTGAGTAACTGTCCCTAGATTCTTGCTCCAAATGAATAACATCCAATATTTCAGTCCAAAAATCATCAAATGGACATTCACTCTCCTCGATCTCATCCAACTCAAGCTCACAATCAAAGATAGAATCTGCGATGCCTTCACCATCTGTCTCAAAAGCTCCACAATCGCTGAGAACTGATGCTAAGAAGAATTCATTGGGCTGTAATTCTTTGGTTTTAGATATCCTCTCATACAAATTTTCCTGTGAAGGAAAGAATGCTTCTCCTAAGAGCAACTCATTATTGATTTCAGCTTCAAAATCTTCCTTGGACTCCCAATTCAATTTAAGATTTTCATGGCTTTCTGCTGCTAAAATGTTGGCTGTATGAATACCATTCTCCATTCTACCAGTACATGGCCCCTTCAAGCATCTTGTTTCAATGCCAGGAAAGTCAGTATGTTGCAGTGATACTTCCTTCTGCAAAGAAGACGAAACAAGACAAACTTGCATCACTATAATTGCAGTTGTGAGTTAGGATGTATCATGCTTATCTAACTGGATGAAAATGGACTCTACAGCCACATTTCATTTGTTTTCTCAACCTTCCTACCCCTCCCTCGTTGACTTAACGAAATGTCATCTAAATGTCAAAGCAAAAATATAACATGTGATACTTGCAAGGAAAATAAACTTTCAAATCTAGGAAATGTCCCTAACACCACTTACAAGACAAAGCTGATAATTTATCACAAACCTACCAAGAAAAGAGGGAAAAGGGGATAACAAAACGAAAATTGGGACTTAAGTATCTCTTAGTAATCAACATCTAAGCATGTCCACAACTTACCTCTAGTGACTCTCCAAATTGTCTTGTTTCAAATTCTTCCAGATTAATAATCGCAATTGATGCTTTAGGTTCAGAATCAAGAAGTTGTTCTTGCTGAGTAGTGATGGCACCATTGATAGAACCATGTGTTTTGCAATGTGACTTCTCGTCATCCACAAACTTGATGACAGATTTTTGGGCTTCAGATAAGTTTGCAATCTGCTTTCTCCAATGAGTACTTTTATTCCCAAGTACATCATCTTGAAAAGTATCATTTTTTGATTGTACATCCTCTTGAACAGAAAAGGCCGTGTTAGTCAGAGACTTTGTTCCTTTAGATGAATGGCTAGCATATGAATTGGAACCGCCAACCTGCATAATAACCAGTCTTAATCTATAAAAGTTAAATGCTCTTCATGGAACACGTACAAAAAGATCAAGCTTATGTAGGTCACATACAAGTGAGTTATTCTTTTGCTCAAGAGACGTACTAGAACATTACAAGTGAGTTATTCTTTTGCTCAAGAGACGTACTAGAACATTATAGTGTTAGAGGAGCCATAATCATGACCAATTTTGAGTGCATAATAACCAGACCTTGTAATACTGTGGTGGACGATAAGGGTTCTTGCTCTTACTAAGAAATGATCCCAAAATCCCAGAACAATAATTCTGCGCCCTGGAATCTGCATTACACATATTATCAGAACAGGGCTATGAGCACTACTTTCTTAGCTACGTATTAGTTAAATAGTGAACCATCTGTGACTGAGCCTTAGAAATGTATGCAACATCAACACGTAGAAAAATGAAGTGTGCTATTGAAGCATTGATTTAGCCAAGAGAAATTGATCCACCAGAACATAGAAAGCTATTACAATTGTTTCCTGTACATAAAAACTCTGTTTCTTGAAAGAAGCTTGATAATACAGTTCAAGTGCTCTGTGCATAAAGATTTTACACTTAAGCCTGTTCCTTACATGGTTCACAAAGTGAAAATGTGATATCAAGGATTGAGTTTAATTGATCATAAAGAAAAAGAACAAATTCGATGCACGCACTGACTATACCTGAATCACAGCATCCCTGTGAAACTTGTTTTCCCAATCTCCCACAGCATAATCGAGAATCAGCAACCAAATCACATCTAAGAACAGGTGATGAGCCAGTGTAATAATTGTTTGAAGTATATGGGGGTAGGATTGTAGATGTTTGTTGCATTCCCAGCATACACTCAGATAAACCATCAAGTTCGCTGTTTCAAAAGCGATTATAAGAACACAGAACCACCACGTCACGAGAAACAAATAAGAAAATTTTTAACCTATCAGTGTCGTGCGTCCACCAGTCAACGTTGGCTTTGAATATAATATTTCTGTTTTCATTTCATTTTCTTCTTTTTCGTATGGTAGGAAACTGAGTTGTTATCAGCTAATAAATGTAAGACAATAACGACATCAAAATTCTAAGCTGTACATGGAAATACACAGATTAAGTTCATGGTGGCCAGACAATTAAATTCAAGTGAAATTTCTTCTTTTATTAGCAATAAGTGGCAGTTCAGCACTTTTTCTCGCAGCTAAATCATGATGAACTATAAAGCAACCAATAATGCAATGTCAACAGCAGAGATCTAAGCAAACAACAAAAAGTTGTGAAACATCACTCACCGCAAAATGGATGGATCAAAATCTTTGGGCAAGTCTTCACAAATTTGCAGGTTAGACAATGATAGCATGAATGTTTTAGTGTACGTAAGCCTTGAATATCTGCGTATAAAGCATGATGAGATAAAGCAACGAAGAATGCAATGTCAAAAACAGAGACCTAATCAAGCAACTGAAAGTTATGATTTATCACTAATCATTACCGTAAAACTGATGGATCAAAATCTTTGGGTAAGTCTTTACAAATTTGCAGGTTAGACAATGATAACATGAATTCCTTAGTGTACGTAAGCCTTGACTCTCTGCAGATAAAGCATGATCAATTGATGATATAAAGCAATTAATAATGTATTGTCAAAAATAAAGATCTAATCAAGCAACTGAAAGCTGCTACTTATCACTCACTGTAAAGCTGATGGATCAAAATCTTCGGGCAAGGCTTTACAAATATGCAGGTTAGACAATGATAACATGAATGCTTTAGTATAAGTAAGCCTCGAATCACTGCAGCACAAGAATTAAAAGAAATTCACGTCAACAGTTGCTAATTGATTAACCGCTAGTATATGTAGCTAGTTTCCGTTAAATAAACGCAATAACTCAAAAAAGTACTAATATCACTTTAAGATCTCTGCAGTGGTTCTGGTTTCCTCCGATTCCAACTGCTCTTTCGAGCTGCATTGTTCAACTTCCACACTCATCCCAAAGTCACAGCACAAATTTTCACAGCCCGTACAAGTTCCTGCAAGCTTATGCAGTTCCCGCATATAACTCTCCACTACGTTCATCTTCCGAGCGTCAAATTCACACTCGCAACCAAAATCAACTCTTTGTTTGAGATAACAAGCTTTTGTATCGTCAACGTTGATGTATATGTTCTGTAAAACCCTAGCTACCGCACCTGTGCAGAATGAGGAAACTAGAAAACTCGATTTCCAAAGTCCAAACGGAACTCCATGGAAATGCGCAGAGACGATTACCTGTTTACATTCTTTCGCGGTTATGAAGATGAGAGAGCTTTACAAATTGCTGGAAAACGTGTACTTTTTTCATACTAAAAGCGGAAAGAAGATTGTAGAACAAGAAATAAAAGCATGACTCTCCAAGAGTAGCAGAGGTGAGAAGTACCTGTCTTTATAGTAACAGATTAACCAGAGGTACTTTTTCTTCTCCACCAACGTACAGAGGTATAGGTGGGGTTAGAACAGTCTTTACACTATAGACATATTTTGAACAACATTTTTTTTATTTTAGAA